CTCTCGGTCTCTCCCTCTCCCTCACCCTCTCCCGCCCTCTCCCGCTTTCCCTCTCTCTCTATATCTCTCCTTCCCTGGCTTTCTCCATCGGTCTGCGTCTTTTGATGAGACGCCGCAAGTATTCGGCGGCTCTCATGAAGATGAAACGGGAGACGAAGCTGATGATGATGATGATGATGATGATGATGATGAGGATGATACCCTGCAAGCTCTGAATCCCAACCGCAGACGGCGAGATGCACAACCCTAGCTATTCGTCCAATTACACCCTAAACCTTGGACCCCACCCACTGAAAGCCTAAATTCGCCCTGAAACCTACACACAAGATATTATACCCTAAATCCTACGCCCCACACCCCAAATCTCTCCAAAACCCTAAACCCCAAAACCCTACAATCCTAAACCATAAAACCCTTAAAGCCCCAAATTCCCTAAAGCCCAAACCCTAAACCCTAAAGCCCCTAAACCCTTCACAACCCCTATATCCTGGAGACTCCGAGCAGCTTTTGAACTCGACCCGAACGCCATCCTCGGCGGGTCTTGCGCACGGGACCATCACCAAGTTGTTCCGATCCTGTCGGTGTGTCATAAATAATACTACTCATAACAGTAACACTAACAATAAGGATTAGTAACCAAGTTGTTCCGATCCTTTCCGGTTTTAGGGTTTAGGGTTTAGGGTTTTGGGGTTTAGGGGTCCAGGGTATTGGGTTTAGGGTCTTGGGTTTCGGGTTTCGGGTTTTGGGTTTGGGGTTTTGGGTATAGGGTTTAGGGTCCTTGGTATTGGGTTTAGGGTTTTGGGTCAGTGTCATTGGAAGTCTTGGGAAGTTTGAGCTTCTGGTCCGATATTCGCGGTGTCTTAGTTTGGGGTGTTTGGGGGGCTCAGGGCAACACGGGCGGGTCTGAGGTTGGTCCTCGCTGTGTTGTGTTTGGGGTGGCTCGAGGGCTTCGGGCTTCAGGGGCTTAGAGTTTAGAGCCTACTTATAGGCTCCATTATCGTTGCTTCTTGTGGTTGATATTTAGGATCCTATAAGGTCATCCCTAAAAGGAACTACTATTCATTAGGTCTCTCGGGTTTAGGGTTTTTTTGCTGAAGGCCCGGGTTTGAAGCATGTGGGATGGGGGTCTTGAGGTTAAAAGTTTAGGACCGTAGGTGTAGGTGTCTAGATCTTCGGCCCGGCGCTTCAAGGTACGGTTTAGGGTTTAGGGTTTAGGGTTTAGGGTTTAGGGTTTAGGGCTTATAGGGTTTATAGGGTTTTGGGTTTTAGGGTTGTCTTGAAAGCACTTCTTGAAGGGAGTCGTTGCAAAAACAAGCCCAGGGAGTTTACGGCCGAAGGTACAGCTCTGACTGAGCGATTCAGAAGAGCCTTTCTTCCATCTTCGGTTCGATTAAACCTCCTTCCTGCAGGACGCTGGGGCATATACTTATAGTATACGGTTGCGGACCGAATACGATGTACATAGTACAGACCTGGAAGATGCTAGGAACAGAGCGGAATCATTCTAAAACGCTGCCCAGCTTCAGCGTCTTTCACGTTGTACTCGGCCTGGTCTTTGCAGCACCCGTACAACCTGCAACAGCACAACAAGGGTTGCCTCTGAGTATCAAAGCCGAATCTCCTGCTGTCCTGTGCAGCCCGCACGTGTGGGAGTCTTTGGGAGTTTTTCCGGGTTGAAGGTGTTTCAGGTTTGCTTGGTTATGCTTTGAGTTATGGCATATATATATATATACCGCTACATTCATCAGTGTGCCACGATGCAGGGGCCATTGCCTTTAAAAGCCGGCAGGGAGCATTCCAGACAGAAAGTTGCAGCTTCGAATCCTGTCGAAATCATGTAGGGGCCTTAATAATTAGAATAGGGTTTTGGGGCCCATTACACTAATTATACTGTAATCACAATAAGGAACCCCCAAAATAGTATAGGTAATTATTTAGGCCCCTGCAATAAGCCCCAAACTGTTTTATGTCTGGGCAGGAAGCGCATCATTTGCCATGGCTGCCAAATTCGAGGGGTCGTTCCTGGGTGGGCAGACACACAGGTACGTTTTCTAGGGTGCCTACAATGCCGATCGGTATCATACTTCATCCGAGACGTCTATGCATGAATGGCATCCCCTGAGAGGTCGAGGTTCCAGGCCACGTAGGATTTGTACGGCTCAGACAAAGCATAACCTGAGATCACTGAGATCGTAGCTTTCGGATCCAGGATTCATTCGCACTTTATTGCGATGGGGACTTGATGCCAGCAGCGTGGCGGCTTGGTTGAAAACTTTGCGTTCCTTCCTATAGGCCCCACAGGCGTGCAGTACAGAGAGCATGCTGCCTCAACGAAGAATGCCCATCTATCCCACCTCCCGAAGCTTCTTGTCAGGCCTGGGCACACTGCTCGTCCTCATCCCAGGTGATGTGCTGAGAGCACCGCCCCTCTTCCAGCCACTGGCGCAGTGTCTCGTGCAGCGGGCGGAGGGTGCCCCACAGCTCCCCTGGGGTGTATTCGTCACGAAGATATCCTTTCAGCCAAACATGCAGGCTAAAGTTTTAAACGCGAACCCCAAAATCTAGCGTAGTTTCCTGTGCTTTGCCTAAAACTATAGTACTCATCGATTAAAAGACATGTCGGATTAGGCAAAACCGATAATGAATCCCAATTGCCGCAGGGAGGCCGAACTTTCCGCCAAAGACCTTGCTTCTCCGGCAGAGAGTTCAAAATCTCGAAGGTAACTGCGAACAGAAACTCTACTTCACAGGCAAAAACCAAAAAAGGCAAGACGCCCGACACTTCCAACAATTTGCCATTAGACTCCTAAACTCGCAATGAGCAAGCAACTAAACCCATACTCAAGACCCAAGGTGTAGAGAAGTGTAGAGAACCAAACTGCAGCGAAGAGGCCATGCAAACCATAAACTCTGACTCCGGTGACTTCTCGTCGCAATGCCTCTCCGCTTCATCGTCCTCCAGGAAACCTCTGAGTGCGGCCCCCGCAAGCGGCTTTGGGGGGACAAGTATACTCAGGAAACGCAAGGTTTATTTTTGGAATTTACAAAAATTAAAAGTTAGTGTGGTTGAATTAAATGCCACCTACTCTACTTGGGCCTTGTGGAGATTGGAGGATTAGTTGTTTCGGTGCCCACAACTCGGACAATCCAACAGAGGGTCTGCGGGTCGATGGGTTTGGGGCTCCCTCTACCGACCGCCGTACTTCCTCCTTTTCAAGATGGTGGCTGAGAAGGTTCGGATCCCCAAATGAAGACATCGAGGTCAAGATCAAGAAGTCTTCTCTCCAAAAGCTGCAGTAAAAAACTGGCTCCCCCGTGACCGATAGCAGCTTAGATGCCGTCCACTCCAAGAGAGCGGTCACGCAGCAGCTCAACAGGAGCTGGGGGACCCGGGGCAGTGGTGAACCTCGACTTCTATGTGAGCTCTAGCACGGCTATAGTATAGGGTGCTCTGATCACGAGGGTCTCAAGTTTCTATTTGTTAAGGTTTAGGTTTGCGGTATAGGGACTGGATGTAGAGTTCAGGCTTTGAAGTTTTCGGCAACACCGATGCGACCCCTGGAGCTCCGACTCTTGAATCGTCGGACATAGGACGCATTGAGATCTTCGTTTCGCCGAACTGTAGCCGACTCATGGCCCCGTGAGCTAAAGGACAAGCCGGCACATGGTCTTTAGCATTCCGCAACTATCAAGGCTGAATGCGCCAAGTCTCAGCCACCGGACCCCAGGCCCCGCCTAGACCAAACGCCCTTCTTCATGCTCCCCATCCGAAACCCCAAACCGAGCCCTGAACCCTGTACGTGCGACACCTTGAACTCTTCACCCTGAACCTCTGACCGAGATTGACTCGAAACCTACCTGCCCTGTTGCTGTGCCAAAGAGCAAACCTCGCCCCCTTGAACCGCCAATGCTGCTAGCTGCCACGACCGGCATCTGACCTTGACGAGAGTCGGTGATTTCGTGCCGGGTTCCAAGGGTCGCTTCTTGGAGGCAGTACCCTTACTTACCACCCCGAAAAGGAACTACAGAGGTGCGTATAGGCTTTACGGGCGTTACCGGGTACGGATCCTTTGAGGGCTGCTCAGAAGCGCTTCTACGCATTGCGACCCAAAGCTCTATACCAGATCCGTACTACGTGCTACGTACTACGTACTACGTATACTACTACTACTACTACTACTACTACTACTACTACTAATACTACTACTACTACTACTACCGCCACCAGTACCAGTACCAGTACCAGTACTAGTACTACTACTTCTTCTTCTTCTTCGACGACGACTACTACTACGACGACGACTACGACTACGACTACTACTACTGCTACTACGACTACTACTACTACTACTACTACTACTACTACTACTACTGCTAAAGCCCTAAAGCACAAGATCCAAGATTCGAGACCTAAAGCTCCACCGAAGCCCTGAGAGTCGTAAAACCCCCCCCCCCCTCTAGGGCTTTTGAGGGCTTTGTGTAGGGTAAAGACGTAAAAGGCTTCCGGGGTTTCATTCTTGCAGCACTCGCAACTGGGCAACAGAGGATGGAACTTGCTTGGCTTTTACTCGGGCACGGGCCTTCTCTCCCTCGGATGTTGGTGTCTTCCGGAACACCGAGCCAATCCAGTCCTGCTGACTGTTGGGCTTAGGGCTGGATTGCTTTTGAAGATTAGGGTAGAGCTTTGCGCTCTCGCAACTCGGACACGGTTTAGGGGTTTACAACTTCAGCACTTTGCGTGTTTTCTTCGAGTTTACGGCTTGAGGCTTGAGAGTTTAGTGGGTTTGAAGGTATAGTGAGGATTCAAAGTCTACTGTAGGAGTTAGCGTTGAGACTTTAACGATTCTGGTGGAGCCCTCTAGGTATAGAGATCAGGACGTGGGGTTTGGGGTTTGGTTTCGCGGTTTCGGCTTAGGTACAAAACAAGGGGGGACCGTGTCATGGCGTCTTTTCGCTACTGTGTTGTACTCAATGGCACGGTGTAATGTGGCGGCCCGAATAGTAACTTGGGATCGAATAATGCGTTTTTCCTTATTCAAGCCGAGACCAAAAAAAACGACCGGCTCAAATATTGCGTTTTTTATTATTATTATTTTTTATTTTTTTTTGGGGGTGGGGTGGGTTTCCTCCTGTCTGCT